CTTTCTTTGCGTGAACATTTGGGCGGCGTTATGCAAATCTTCCCACATAGTGACATAGATATGTGGAGGCGTGTTAGAACGAGCCATTTTAGGTAGATGTGGCTGACTCAACTTTTATAAAGAATATCTCTTTGGATTTGAGACTTTACAAAGCTGCAAAGACTAAAGAAAAACATTATTTATGCACCAAGAGCTTGTAACACTCCAAAGAGAAAGGAAAAATTGAAATCGCATCATATGACCCCTTTAAAAAGAACAGCGTTTATTCAAAATATAAATAATTTCTAACAATATAAATCTTTGCTATCACTTTTTCTCAATTTAACACATCCCCACGGAATAAAAGTATTAATTTCTTTAAAAAAAAAGATGATCCTAAATTTTTGGTAGTGTATATTGTGTGTGTGTGTGTATATATATATATATACATATATACATATCCCAACGTCGGATTGATGTCAGAACCCGATGTCGGATTTACGTCAGAACCCAACGTCGGATTAATGTCAGATCAAGACTTCGAATTGACGTCAGAACCCAACGTCAGATTGACGTTGTAATTTGGTTGAAAATGAAAATCGAGGTGACATCAAAACCCAACGTCAGATTGACATCAGAACCCAACATCAGATTGACGTTGTAATTTGGTTGAAAATGAAAATCGTGTTGACATCAGAACCCAACGTCAGATTCCAACGTCAGATTGACGTCACATCCCAACGTCAGATTGACGTCAGATCCCAACGTCGGATTGACGTCAGAACCCAACGTCAGATTGACGTCAGATCCCAACGTCAGATTGACGTCAGAACCCAACGTCGAATTGAAGTCAGATCCCAACGTCTGATTGACGTCAGAACTCAACGTCATATCCCAACATCAGATTGACGTCAGAACCCAACGTCAGATTGTCGTCACATCCCAACGTCAGATTGACGTTGTAATTTGGTTGAAAATGAAAATCGAGGTGACATCAAAACCCAACGTCAGATTGACATCAGAACCCAACATCAGATGCCCAAACAGAAAAATGGTGGTGAAATAAAGAGAACACACACACACACACACACTTTAAAAATAGTATTTTATTCTTTTGTAACTTCTATTAAACCAAAAATAGTATATACTTTGTAGTATATACTATACAAAAATAGAGTATACTTTTTAGGTAGTAATCACAGATATACGTTATAGAATTATACTTAAGTACTTACAGTTAGTATACTTATTTTGACAAATAGACAGAATAGTCTTAGTATATTTGACCTATACTTGCACTTAATCTTTTATACTTATATTGTTATACTTATCCTGTAAGTTGTGTTTCAGTTGGTAAATATATATATTGGTATTCAAATTAGTTTTCCACAGATAATTAAACAACGTCAGATTGTCGTCACATCCCAACGTCAGATTGACGTCAGATTCCAACGTCATAACCCAACGTCAGATTGTCGTCACATCCCAATGTCAGATTGATGTCAGATTCCAATGTCAGATTGATGTCAGATTCCAACGTCAGATTGATGTCAGATCCCAACGTCAGATTGACGTCAAATCCCAACGTCGGATTTTGGTTGAAATTCTGCACTCTGGCAGCAAATATTTGAAATTGTAATAATGTTTCACAATATTACTGTTTTTACTGTATCAAATAAGGCTAATGCAGCCTTAGTGAGCATAAGAAAGCATTAAAAATCCCTTACCAACCCCAAACGGAAAAATGGTGGTGAAATAAAGAGAACACACAAACACACACACTTTAAAAATAGTCGTCAGATTGATGTCAGATTCCAACGTCAGATTGACGTCAGAACCCAACGTCAGATTGTCGTCACATCCCAGTGTCAGATTGACGTCAAATCCCAACGTCGGATTTTGGTTGAAATTCTGCACTCTGGCAGCAAATATTTGAAATTGTAATAATGTTTCACAATATTACTGTTTTTACTGTATCAAATAAGGCTAATGCAGCCTTAGTGAGCATAAGAAAGCATTAAAAATCCCTTACCAACCCCAAACGGAAAAATGGTGGTGAAATAAAGAGAACACACAAACACACACACTTTAAAAATAGTATTTTATTCTTTTAATTATATGACTGTATGAAATAACATGATAGAGTTATACATGGATGATGTAGAAACAAAAAGGCCATCACTCTCCATTCTTGGCACTTTCTTGATAGTGACCCTACTGTGAGCAATCATTTAAGCAGTCTTCTTCTACATGACCACTAGATGGAGACAATAAAAACACTAGTTTGACCAAAAGGCAAGCTGTCATTGTAAATATTAACACTGTTTGCAGCACAGCTCTTTTCATTAGCCTTAGGGAGCAAACCTTCATTACCTTAATAAAGAAAAAGCTGGGAAATCAGTTCAGTAATTATCACTTTGCTGTGTAATTTCATGCCAATTAATATCTACAATCCAATTATTTGTCATTCATGGTAACCTAATATTTTAATTCACTAATATTGTAATGAAGCTCTGTCTAACAAACGTTCAGATGGCCTTTTCTTTACTCTTACTTTATTCTTACTCTTACTGCTATACTTGAATCTCAGGCAGTTGATTTATAAGACAAATGATTAAGATGGCTCTTTCTCTTTCTGTGAAAAAGTTTGCATTAAACACGTTGGGCATGTTTTGCAGAAGTTGTGCCAAGTGAAACATATGGGTAGTCTCTGCAGGAGATTGGTACAACAGGCCACACGCCCAGAGTTCATCCACTCTCATCTGTCCACATTACACAAGCCACAGCACCCAGCTGAGCCTAATCAGTGTGTCCCTCTATCATCCACTGAGTGGACCTCCTCCACCTCCTACATCACAGCAATAGCTCACTAAATAACCTCACTATAGTATGGAAAAATACTACAGAAGTCAGTGGCTACCAGCAACTGTTTGGTGACCAACATTCTTCAAAATATTCTGTTGTGCTCAACAGAAGAAAGAAACTAATACAGGTTTGGAACAAGTAAGAGGGTGAGTAAATGATTTTCATTTTTTGGTGAACTATCCCTTTAAGGTGCAGCCACAATTACGGTTGCTCGGGAATGTCTTTAATATGTTTTTGGTGGCACATACACATACACATCAACAGAACATTCAGTCGGTGCATGGAATGTGTGTGGTCAAGCAGTGTGGCAAAATGACTGTCCCATTATTCAGTCTTGTATTAATTTACCAACCGATCAATCAAGAAAATTTCAGATTTTGCTCATGTTCAAGCTGGTCATGGCTGGTTGGTTTGGGTCACTTTATAATATTCTATTCTGATCATAATATGTTAACTTCAAACATTGGCTTTTGTTGACACCCTCATGCAAGTTATACTGCTGTCCCTCAGTAACTCAGTAGGGTAACTTTTTATTTCCTTCTTATTAATTTTCACCCTTTTATTAGTGGAATTCTGTTTCTTTTTGCATTTAACCTTTTATAGACATACTTTAAATTACATCACAGATATATTCCTGTTTTGAAATGTACAGACCTGGTACTTGGTACTGCTTAACAGGAATTAAAAGGTAATTTAAGTACCGACCAACCAAATATTGATTCTTAACCTCGAAGTGAGATATGAACATGCTGATTTATATTCATTTAAGGAAGGCAGCTGGGTTGGATTCCCTCTCCTTGTGATTCATTAGAGAACTGTAGCTGTGACGCTCATGTCAGGGTTGTAATCTGTCATCGCTGTATCTAAAGTACTACAAACACCCAAAATCATACAGACCAGGTTTGAATAAACACTGCACTGCTGCTTTCAAGAATGCTGCAAAGATTATAATGTCAGAATCTGTGTATCTCAGCAAGATCATCCTATGTCTACAACTTAATCGATGCTTGATGTTGTGACCTTTACAGATTAGAGATCATGCAGAGATTAATCTGCTGATCCTTCCGTGTTATCAACTTCAAAAAGAAAGCAAAAGTGATGAAGGAGAAAGAAAAACATAAAAGGACACTTTGATCTTTAGTTATGGATCAATCCATTGGATCTGCACATCTAATCTCTACTGGGTTTATAAAAAAATGACAGATTTATGGCTTCCATAATCTCCTTCAAATCGACAGTTATGTTTGATGCCATCAGTGTTCTTTATATATGTACTGCAGTACAAATGCTGTAATTTTTCTGCTGTACATCAGCATCTGATTGAATAAACTGCAATTTGGCTATTGCAAAAAAAAAATCCTTTGCTTAAGTGGTGAACTAATCAATTTAAATTAGTTTGACATTACAAAACCAGCAGCACACATCTATAATGTTTCTGAAACTGAATAGGGAGCGGTGGCACTGACTCAACTGATCTAGGGGTCAGTATTGACACTTTAACATCCAAAGGTGAGAATGCAAACATGCTGGTTGTGGGTGTGACTGGAGTTCAGGTAGGCGTGTGAACAGTGGACAGGAACAAATGCTTTGGGGAAGAGACAGGGAACAGTAGTGCCCTTTGGAACAGGCATGACTCATGCTTGAAGGACTATCTTTCATAAGAGAAAGTTCAGAGTACTATTAAAGGACACCAGAGACAGGCACAAAAAAACTCACCCAGGACCACCAAAGCACTGATCTCAGCTATGCCAGGTCAGTAGAAAATGATCATGGTCAGTGTAAATGATTATTTACCAAAAGGAGAAAATTAAGTGACAATCCTTATAATATTTAACTGTGTTTCTCCACTGGGACTGCTTTAAATGACTTTGGAGCTCCAGTCAATGATTTGGTGTTGAAGTGTTTCAGATTATTTTGTTACTTTCTGCCGGATGTAAAAAAGCGTTTAACTGCCAGCACCCTCTCTGTTAATTTGCAAGGAAGTGGTGTGGGTGCACTTACTGTAAGTACAAAGATCACCAATGGAAGATTTTATTGTGCATATTAGGGTCAGGTGGGGTTTAATGTGTTTTCTCCTGCAGTTTTTACCATACACTGCAGAATTCTTATGTACAAAGTATATATTTATACATAAATAATACATTTATTTGCTTAAACAAATCAAGGTATACAGCGACTCTGTTTTTCATTTTTCTCCCATCTTCTATTTTGTAAAGGTGCATATTATTCTGAGCATCTCTTTGGTATTCTTTCTCTTCCTGTCTTGTTTAATCAGTAAAAAGTACATTTTTCATACTGAGTCACTGAATGGCTGTCAGCAGTTTCTTTGTTTATTAGACACAGCTACATTGCTTAACCTTGTTCCTATCTTTTGCCCTTCACTGCCGGGCCAGCAGTGTTTTCTTATCAACAATGCAGCTCAGAATGCACTCTCTGAGCATATAGCGGCTTTTTTTCTACGTCTTACAAAGCAGAATTTGAAACTCTTTGTAAATAAGGTCAGATCATCCATTTTGCAGCACAGCTTGGTATTGTGATGTTGTTGTATAATGTGAGTTATCAATAAACCCTCAAAATTGTGCAAATCCCAGTTTCATTTAGAAAAATGGACACATCAATAGTGGCCACATCCATCTTTAGTGCTAGCGCTGACAAAAGGAAGCATCAATCTTTATAACAAGACTAATGATCAGTGTCGGCTGCTTTGTGGCTTGTTCTCTCTCATGGTCCATTTCTGTATTTTACAGTTTAATCTGTGCTTCTGGACACACCCCTGTCCAGATGTTGAGTCTTGGGGATTCTGTCCCTCTGCTCAGACAGACAGACATACAGACTAACTAGATGGATAGATAGATAGATAGACTGTCAACAATGTTTCTAATTTACACTGTTGCATTGTTTTGAAGGTGATGTTTTATTGGAGGGTAACATTTACACCGAAAGCTTTAAATATTTCAAAGAGGGTGCTAAATAATATTTCCTCTGTTAACTAGAGCACCCAGAACAACACCTAACCCTAACAAGTAATAAACTGGTGAATGAAATGTTGAATGAACTGTCTGCCCACAAATGACTCTCAGAGGCACCATCGTTCATTATTCACACATAGCTGCAGTGATCCAATAATAGCTTGTGTACATATAGAGACAATACGTAATATCACGGTATTACAAATAAAAGAAGATTCATCTCAGCCCCATTGTGAAATGTTGTTTCCATAGCAACAGGGGGAGAAAGATGGTTAAGCCAGAGAGACCTAGAGAGGGAGTGGCACTTCTTTATAAAGAAAGAGGTGAAAGACAGAAACACATTTCCACTGTGTGTACGCATGGTCACAACAGACATTGAGGGCAGTTCAAGACGTGAGGGAGGGAGAGGTAATTTGGCTGTCCATCCATTGATTTCCTTCACATTCATTCAAGTGTTTCACCTTTATTTTCTGTCAGATGCATGAAGTGGAATCAATGCCACCTCCTCATCACCATATTCTCCTCCTCCACTCAGTAGCCAATCTCCTTCAGCCCTCCACCACATCACACATATAGTCTTTCCCCACAACACCCACACAAACACAGGCACACACATTCCCTCTTCATTCTCTCTCTCTCTCTCATACACACCCTCCTGCCTGGAGATTTGAAGATGTGACTAAGGCTGGTTTGTAATCAGATGAAAGACGTGTATAATCCCGAAACTCCCTCCATCTTTTTCATTGCTGGAGTGGGGATGCTGAAGGAGAGGACAAGGGCCTGGATGAGTGACGTGTGATGGAGAGATCTGTGCTGACGGATTCTGCTTTTATAAGGACCTGGACTGACGCTGCTCTCTTGGGAGTCTGGGATGAACGCAGAGACCATTGAAGAGAGAGTGGACGGGTAAAGACAGGGCAGAGAGGACATCAAAGGGAGCTTCATCTGTAACTTGGACACAAAGTAAGAATTAATTTTTTTTTAATCGTCTGCCATTATTTTGTTGTGTGTGTGCGAATGGGTTTAGATGCACAGGATGGAGTTCTTACCTTGACAGGTATTTCTGGATTTAACGGAAGAAAAATGCACTTGGGCCTTTAATGAATTAATAATGAGAGGCTGTTTCATCCCACTGTGTCTAAGTAGCACATTCCTTTCATGTGTGACATATAACTTAATATAATTCATGAAAGAGACTTTAACTATAAACAAACATATTAATACAAACATTTAGAATTCTAATTTAAATGCTGAACAGATATATTAATTAGGGATGCACCGATATGAAAATTTTGGCCGATACCGATAACCGATTATTCTTTATTTTTGAAAGCCGATAACCGATATGTTGGCCGATAAATCTATATCCAAATTGTTATATACTTTTTGAGAGCCTGATTACAAAAAAGGTCTCATCATTAAAAGCCACATCCCAAACACTTCAACATAAGCAGCCTAGTTTGAACGGTGTACGTTTTAAAAATATTTTTACTCTCCCATTACCAAATTTAGTCATAAAAAAGTCTTACAAATAAATAAAATTATGCATAAATAATGCAAACTAGTCACTGGACATCATTACACGTGTAAAGAATCAAAATGAATGCGCCACAGATCAATAAAACAGAATAGCCTCTGCACGGACAATAATTAAATTATTTTAATTACTAAACCATATTGTTGATGAAAATAATAAGAGAAAAATACAAGTGGTTGTTGTTATTAATAATGTATCAATGATTTTGAAAAAGTAACAAATTAATACCACTGTTTTAAATAGCAGCCGTTGAGCTGCACGTGCTGAAGCTGAAGAGCTGAATGAACACGGTAAACTGAAGCGTTTTGCTGGCAGCTTATTTAACTCAAGGAAATGCATCCTGAGATTAATATTAATACAACATAAACATAATATTACAACTTATATATGTACAAAATGACGCAGTTATTGCATGCTATACCGATAACAGAAAAAATGAGCCGATATGGGCCGATACCGATATGGTGGCCGTTTAAATGCTGAACAGATATATTAATGTTATTTTCAATGTTTGATGGAGAACATTTTTTTGCTAGTAGATTATTTGGTTACACTTTATTTCGATAGTCCACTTTAGACATTCTATTAACTATAAGTAACTTTGTAACTACATGTCAACTACATGTCAACTAATTCTCATTCATTTGCAACTACATGTCTACTAACTCTCAGAGTAGACTGTTAGGGTAGGTTTAGGGTTAGTAGAATAAGTTGACAAAGAAAGTGTTAGATATTAAGCAGACAGTCTACTAATACTCTACTAACTACTAGTTGACATGTAGTTGCAAAGTTACTTGCTGTTAATAGAATGTCTAAAGTGGACTATCGAAATAAAGTGTTACCGATTATTTTCTCACCTGTTGACAATATATATGATCTAAAACCAAAGCAAAGACTGGAATAATGTGGAAAACAGTCTTTGACCCGCTTTAAGAAAGCTGTACCAAAAGGTTTTGTTTTGGTTGTTGGTTCTTTACAATGTTTATGCTGTTGCCTCTCAGTTTTGGTTCCTTGCCACCGTCGCCTTTGGCTTGCTTAGTTGGAGACACAATTTCTGTCAACATTGTTGTCTTGACTGCACAGACACTATAGGAAGAGAACTGAACTGAGCTGGACGATGACATCACTGAATCAACAATGAACTGATTGGTTCTATTGGTCTCTTGCATTATCAGCACACGTTGTTCCTGTTTAACACTGTAAAGCTGCTTTGACACAATATTGTACAAAGTGCTATGTAAATAAAGGTGACTTGACTTGATGTTGTAATGGATGCATATAGGGACTATAGAGGGAGAGATCAACACATGCGGCACCCATGCTGAGACCCTTGTCGGTAGAAATAGCTGGTTTACCAGACATTTCTACCTGCCCTGCCCTTCGTCTGCGAGTAGTTAAGACGAACAGTATTGGTCCAGCCTGACCAAAGGTTAAAGGTTTTGAGGTTGTAAGATTTTATGCTTGTAAAAAAAGTATTTTAAGCTCACCAAGGCTGCATTTATTTGAGCAAAATATATACAATTATTATTTTTAAATGATTACAATTTAAATAACAATTATTACAATTTAAATAACTATCTATTTTAATATATTTGAAACTGTAATTTATTCTTGTGATGAATTATCAGCAGCCATTAATCCATTATTCAGCGTCACATGACTCAGCATTTAAGAACAGCATTTATTTGAAATAGAAATATTTAGTGACATTTTACTGTCACTTATTTTTATCAATTTAATTTTTTTTAAATAAAAAATAAAAATAAAAATAAAAAATATTCAAGACTTTTCCCATTAACACATTTTTTTATTTTGATGGTCCCCTTTAGACATGTAGACATTAGACACTGTAAGTAACTTTTCAATTACACGTCAACTACCACTCATTAGAGTATTAGTAGACTGTCTGCTTAATATCTGCGAACACTTTATTTTTTGTCCCCGAAGAGACATTCTTCTGAATAAAGTAACTCTGCAAGTATATTCCAACTTATTCTACTAACCCTAATCCTAACCTAACAGTCTGCTAACATGCTACTAATGGGAGTGCTAATGAGAGTTAGTTGACATGTAGTTGCAAAGTTACTTATAGTCAACAGAATTTCTAAAGCGGACAATCAAAATAAAGTGTAACCAACACTTTTTTCCTATTCCAGCAGATATCCAATGGCAGAGGTTGGGCACACTGTGTCATTCCCATCAGGGGGCACAATCCCCTCAGACCCTTTCGTCACAGTTGAGTGCAGTTCAGCAGAGGTGAAGCCTGAAGATGTACCCCTGCAGAGCTCCAATGAAGCATCATACTCCTCAAAAGACCTCAAGGACAGCAGCCAAATTGATCAACACGATACAAGTGGTCACGGTATTGCTGAGACCCACATGTCTGACGGTGTGTGTTTACAGTCAATGAGCGATCAGAATAAACACACATGTAGTTGTTCACTGACAGTGCACAGGGAACATGTCTTATCTCCTCACAAGGACCTAAAAGAGCACAGTCTGTTATCAATACAGAGAAGCCACTCAGACAGCTTGCAGATTTTTAAAGAGGCCACAGCTTCTCCTCTCTACTGTGAAACGGGTGTGTCTTTTTGCCAAGGACGAGACCAGGATGTTTGTGCGCAGTCATTTCCTTCTTTAGTGTGTAAACAGGCCATGCCGCTTCAGCAGAGCAATACGGTGACCACGTCTACCAGAGCAGGAAGTAGTGGATCGGGCAGCCCAACTCAACCAGCCAAACATGGCTTCATTCAGATCGGTGAAGTCATTCCAGAGTCCACCTGTCCCAAATTCAAAGAAGCTGTTTGTTGCAACTCACACTTCCACCCTGGAGCTGTCGAGGACACTTTTGCGGCATATTGCCACCCGCAACCAATTCCTGCTCCGGCGCAGCTGCTTCCACACTTAGTAGGAATGGAGGAGAGCTACAAGGGCCAAGTATCAGCAGGCAACCTGCTCGCTCTCCCTCGGCTCATCTCCTCCGTCAGTGAGACCGGATTGGACGGTAAGCGACTCCTTCGCTGCTGCAATCTGGATTGCTCTTGGCCAGGTCCGTTGCGTCCAGTTGGTGCTCAACAATGGGTGGATGAAAAGACCAAGATGGAAGTGGGGACCATGACCACAGAAAAAGAACTGAGAGATGTAGGAGTGCAAGTGGGTCAGGACTCTGAGGAGCATCCCCAGCACGTGTTCCCAGAAGTGTGCCTGGTTGAAGAGAAGACAAATGCGAGTGGCAAAGTGACGTCAAAGAGTCAAAAGTCTCCTGTGAGGGAGGTGAAATGGGATGCGGAGGGCATGACCTGGGAGGTGTACGGAGCCTCAGTCGATCCTGAGGAACTCGGACTCGCGATTCAGAAACATCTGGAGGTACAAATCAAAGAGACTAAGGGAATAACGGTAAAACTCTCACGCCAGAACACGGCAACATCCCAATACAGCTCAGGATCAACCCAGAGGAGAAAAAAGGGGTTGTTGGGGTTGTTGCGCCGGCCGGGCTGCTGTTCTCGCACCACCGGTGCAGTGGACTAAAGGACCTACATGACTGAGACCCCAAATAGACATTTTAAATACTCTTGGGTTGACAGCCAAGTAAAGATTAAAAATAGGGATTTTTTTTTAAGCAACAGTACTTTCTTTTTGCCCTTGTATAACAGAACTGGGTAATACATTTCAGAAAAATCATGTCTTCCTTTAATTTTTAAAACCTCACCTAAATGCTGTAGTAGTTTGCTCAGTAGGTTTAACAACTTTTTATAATTTATAGAAAAATTGTGGGTTATTTTATAATAGTCAACTGCTCTTTGGTTTTTGTTTTCCATCAGCAAATCATAATGATTATGACTAAATTCCTGTCTTGCATTAGTCTATGTGGAAACATGTCAACTGAATGAAGAACTGTTATTGTTTAATTCTGTGGAAGCACTATGATGGAGGTAAGAGAATACAGTAGCCTAACTGTAGCGCTGCCTGCTGGTCAAAGCATGACAGTAAGACAGACGGTATCACAAATATGTGTAAATACTTTTAAAAGTAAAATACTATTTACAATACAATACCATTCAAAAGTTTGGGGTCTGTCAGGTTTTATTTTTAAATTTTTTTAAACAGTGTAAATAAAACAATATTATTGAGAAATATTATTCACTGTCACATGATTCTTCAGAAATCATTTTATGCGTTGATTTGGTGCTCTAGAAATATTTCATATTAATATTTATGTTTAAAAAATGGTTGTGTTGCTTAATATTTGTCAGAATTCTTTCATGAATAGAAAGTTCAAAAGAACAGCATTTATTAGAAATAGAAATCTTTTGTAACATTATAAAGGTCTTTCCTGTCATTTTGCTCAATTTAATGCATCCCTGCTGATTAAAAGCATTCATTTCTTTCATGACCCCAAACTTTTAAACAGTAGTGTATATTCATATTGAATAATATGTAAATAGTAAGACACTAGATGTAGCAGATGAGCTAATTATTTTAGTCCTTACTTGTCAGTACATTTCCAAAAATATATATTTCTTAATAATATAATTTTCAATCAATTTCACATTTATTCAGAAAATTAGTACTGGATTAACTGGTTTTTCGAAAGTAACAAAGCAGAGGAATTATACTGTATTCAGAATAACACATTTTGACACTTGGGTGTAGAATATGGTTTGTTTAGTTATTTATCAAAGCAAATTAAATGTCTCACCAGCAGCATTGTTTTTGTCTTCGTATTCTACTGTAACATTAAAAGCAATATGACAGTTAATTGAAAACTCTTTTTGCATTTTGATGTTTTTGTGACAGCATCAAATGTAACCATACATGAAAGCTTTCCATATTAACTACAACATGACTTCTTTAGTTTTTTTCCTTACTGACACTTGTTTAGTTGCCCAATTTGGACACTATTTGTGATTCTAGACACAGCTATGAAAAAAGAATGACTGTACCATTCTTTTTTCTTTTTACTATGTTTGTTAATGATCAGAAATATATTTACAGGCAAAATTAAAGAATGGAAATTTAACATTTGTATAATCACCTGTATATTTACAAAACAACCTCAAAAGATTGATTTGGATAGAGTATAAAATATTCACTGACACACAGACCATTACAGGCTGTAGGCTACTTATTTATTGTGTTCAAGGCTGCCTGTTCTGCGGTTTCAAAACCTAAAGAACAGTTCCAGAATATTGGCTGTGACCCGAGTGAGACCATTCCATGACATCCATACATGAAGTTCATAAATCTGCTCATGTCCATAAACTGGATTTCCACATTGTGTGTTTTCAAGCATTTAGGCCTATCAATTAAGCTATATTTTTAAAATCCTATAGTAAATCTTTTTTGAAAAGCCTTTAAACAACATATTCATCTAAATGCATTCAGCTGCTTTTCTTACCATTGCACACAGGCTACTTTTTACTACCGCAGCAAACCTGATGACTACACCTGCCATGTTTTAATTCATCTCCAGCAGCAGCAGCACACACTACGAGCAGTGCTGCCTTACATAACGCGTGCATTTGATTTGATCTCACACATGATCGTGAGATATCGTGGGATATTCTGTGGACACGGGCACAAACGGAGGTAAGTACCTCGAGATGGCTAAAGATAAAAGAATTTAAATGAATGAACATGCATAATGACGGGTCGTTGCAGAGGTGTAGCATCCATAAACCCAATAATACACATAGACACAGTCGCGGGACTAAGCTACACTGAAACGCCTTGTGTTTGTGCGAACATCAGTCGACGTCGCGTGAATACCGTCATATTTGTGTCTTTTCTCATAGAGGCTGCAAATGACAATAATGGGTTGGATTAACGTGTTTAAAAAACCCCCAAAATGAATTATTGATATCGTGACCATTTTGAATTTATGACCAGGCGAACCCTGCGTGTATTTTTCGCGTCATATATTGTATTAAGCGTCTTTTGTACAGTAAGAGTAGGCTACTATAAGGAAATATAGTCTTCTGACCTCTCTAGTATGGAGGACGAGACCTGCCAAAACAATAAATAAATTTGTGCATAAATACATGTATTCTTGTTTAAATACATAAATAAATAATTGAACATGTGATGAAAGTAGGCAAATAAATAAAATAAATTGGTGGGTAAATGGAAAATGTTTAAGGAAATACTAAACTCATCCTAACTATTTTCCTTTGATCTCTCATTTATTTCTGAATGCAGTTCCACATTTTTTCCCCCTCTGCAACATGCTAATGAGAGGGTGTCAATTATGCAAGAATAGGCGGCTCTTGTGTCATAAACTGGCTTGAGCGTTTGCCTGCGCATGCGTATTAACTTCATCAGTCAAGGGGACTGATTATTATCTTACACTTTTTCATAGGGTTAGTTTTGTAGTTATAATCATGAGAGAGCTAAATTATAAAAGATTTTAAGTGGCCAATGTAAAATATTAATGCTTGCATAGCTCTTAATTGCAATACTGAACCGTTATTTGCTTAATAAACATAGTTTTGTCGCCTGTATTTTCTGTTCTGATAACTAATGGGAAAAAATGGTCTGTTCCTCGATTAAACCACTTCATACCAGTTCTCAAGGATGTATATGAGCCTCTGTTTGTACAATAATAAATTGAGAATCATCTGAGATGTACCCTTGTGTATGTCACTAATTTGGTTCTCCCGCCGTAAAGAGAGAGAGATTGCTGCAGATCGACTTGGTTGTAGAAGACCGTTTACTGACCATAAAAATGATCTTACACGTACCTAAACAACGAGCAGGTAAAACCATCCTAATAAACACTAGCTGCCATCAAAAGAACGAGCCCTTATTCCACGGATAAAGTGAATAATCTCACGATGACCATGGGATACTGATATTACAGTTGTCTCTAGCTGGAGACTCAATCGGGTTACAAAAAATGACGTCAGGAAACGACACTGGCCATTTCGTTGGGTCGTTTATAAAGTCACAGATACTGTACGGACAATACAACTCAGTTTTTTATGTATCTTGCTCTGTTAAATGGAAAAAGTGACTTTACTAGGCTATACTGGATTAACACCATGCATTTCCTGTCAGCGGGAAAGCCGTGCCCCCAGCTATCACAAGACCCGACCAAGTCCATGGTTGACACCCTCTCATTAGCATGTTGTGCAGAGGAAAAATAAATGTGGAACTACATTCAGAAATAAATGAGTGATCAAAGGAAAATAAATAGAATAAGTTTAGCATTTCCTTAAACATTTTCCATTAGCCCACCAATTTATTTGCCTACTTTAATCACGTTTAATTATTTCTATATGTATTTAAACAAGAATTTGTGTATTTATACACACATTTATTTATTTATTTGCATATTTATTTATTTGTGTATTTATTTATTTATTTATTTATTGTTTTAGCAGGTAATTACCTCCATAGTCTAGCAGATACTGTTAGCTGTAAATGGCTGTATTTCTAGTGACCTTAGTTGGAGAATAGCCTGATTTCTTACCATTTCGCTTCATTAAACACACGACAGTAAAAACCCAATTTTAAAGCAAGACAATTAAATTAAAAGATATATGAATGAATAAATAAACATAAATCATTTCCATTGACATAACTGTTAAAAAAATGAAAAAGTAAATTCTAAATCAAATATAAAATAAATGTGATACATTGCATAAGGCTGTTAATAACCAGATTTAAACAACAAGTAAATAATATTTTACAGTAAAATTGAATGCAATGTAATGGTAAGCTTTCCTGTAGCATTTAACTTTTTTTCTCAGTTGAAATATCTAACATTTTTTACACTGCAACATTCCCCTCAATTTCAGAGGTGTCCTAGCAGGTGTAATTAATCACATGAACTATGCACTTGTTCCACAAAATATGACAAACACAAAGCCTCCAAATATTTTTGGGAGTTTTAAAGGGTTAGTTCACCCAAAAATGAAAATTCTGTCATTAATTACTCACCCTCGTGTTGTTCCAAACCCGTAAGACCTTCGTTCATCTTCGGAACACAATTTAAGATATTTTTGATGAAATCTGATGGCTCTCCAACCATCCCATAGACAGCAAGGTAACTACCACGTTCAAGGTCCAGAAAAGTACCAAGATGATCGACAAAGTAGTCCGTGTGACATCAGTGGTTCAACTGTAAAGTTACGAAGCTACGAGAATACTTTTTTTTGCACAAAGAAAACAAAAATAACGACGTTGTGCACCCTTTTTTCTCCAAGGCCACAACAATATTATTTTTTGTGTGTGAATTATTGGATAAGGATTTTAATTAATATATATATATATATATATA